TAATTGATAACAAAGAGTCAAATCTACATAGTCCAATTTTAGAGTCCAGGCTCTTCACTACTACTCCTGCCAGCCTAATTAAGGAAGCATCCCTGATTATTCTAGGTAAAGACTATTACTTTTCTTTCTATCATAAACATCAAAATATAGGCCTGCTACTATATTTGCTTAGATTCAACTTTCCTGGAGCCCAGCTTAGCGTTGACATTTGCAGGCACAGTTTAGCTTTCATCTCGCTGCAAGATATAAGGCAACCTGGTACTTAGTTTACCTGCAAAAGGCAGTTATGAAGCCCTAGAGGAAACTAATTAAAATGCAGCACATTTCCAAGGCACCATATCTTGCTGTGTTGCCATAGAAACAGTGGAACTTTCTGGTCAGTGACCTTTGAGGGAATATGGGGATACATATTCATATAGTTCATAAGAAAAGCCATCCCAGTACATTAACCTATAGTTGCAGGACCAATATTTGGAAATCTCCTATGCAATCCTAGCTGACTTCAGAACCTACTAGATGCACAACCCAGGGATTTTTGAAGGAACATTCTTAACTGTTTATAATACAGCATTTTTGAGATGGATTTAAAATAATCAAAGATAATGCCGTAGCTGCCAAGAAAGAGTAAAGAAAATCTTAGATTATTATACAAGACATATTAGAACTAAAATAATATATAGAAATAGTTTGTGTTAAATCTGTTCTATTGTGTTTGGATTCTTCAAATCTAGGCTTACTCAAAGGATAAAATATAACATTACTGTATCAAAAAAGGGCACGTAGAACATCAAAGCTTGTTGTAAAATGTTATCATGTTAATATTATTTAAAAATATAAAATCGTAGTTAGGCCCATTTCTGTTTTATTCATTTGCAAATTCAGTCATTACATTATAAATATGCATAAATGAATACTTCGATTTTACCTTTATATATTTGTATACATATATATAGATAGATATACAGTCATTTGACAGAAGACAATATCCATAAATCAATAGGGAAAATGACAAATCCTGCCTTACTGTAGTATGGTGTTATTATTATATGAACATTGTTATCTTATCATGAAAAAAAAATAACTTATTTCTAAGGTCAGGATATGTATAGAGTTTAGGCTACAGGAAAATATCAGGGAGTGGCTAATTTATTCACAAATTAGAAATATTATCTCCAGCTGAATAGAGTAGTTGTATCACTTATTCCAGACACAGAAACCCGAACAAAAGTAGAAATATACTAATCAATTATACATAGAATAGTGAGGCTACCACCCAATTCCCTAGACTTCTAGAGGTTCCCCTTACATGGTTGTTTGTCCTCACTCTAAGAGACAATGTGGCCTGGGGGCCAAGAGCGCAGACTGTGATATGACACCGCATTGATTTTGACTCCTGGCTCCACCACTTATTAGCTGTGTGACCATGAGAAAGTTAACCTGTGGGTACCTCAGTTTGCTCATGTATAAAATAAGAACAACAATGAACCTCTTAGGATTGTTTTGAGAAGGAAATAAGTTAATATTGATCCATATGTATATATGATCCATATATGACTTACAGTAAGTTATAAAAAATGTGTACCTAATTCCAGGGACAGAGCTCACAGAGAAATGCCAGCCTTACTGCACTCCTACTCCAGACAGAAGAACAAAGTGGCATGAACTCATTCCAGATAAAAATACAGAATGGCATCAGTGTGGTGGACAGAAGAGTTTTGTGAAGCTCGCAATTAGAAAACTGTTTTTTTCTTCTTCAGCATGGATTTAGACAGCACTATGTCTGAGAATTGGAGCCGTGGTTGCACAGTGGTTAAGAGTTCAGCTGCTAACCAAAAGGCTGGCAGTTAGATTCCACAGCTGCTCCTTGGAAACCCTATGGGGCAGTTCTACTCTGTCCTATAGCGTCGCTATGAGTCAGAATAAAGTCGACGGCAGCGAGTTTGTTTTTTTGGTATCTCTGAGAATTAATGTTTCTACTTGAAATGTGGGCGAGTGTGTGTTTAATCCAATAGTTACCTACTGGATGAGCCAGAAGGATAAGGAGGCATATTTGCATCTCACACTGGTGGGCAGATTTTGAAAAAGATCCAACTTGGAATGCCAGACCACACTAGATTGTTCTGCTACAAATTACGTGCCAAAGCCCACCCTGAACTGTTTTTGCTAAAACCTGCTATGGAGTACTATGAAGCCGAATAACTCAGACTTGGGGAAATAGGTGTCTGCAAAATAGCCTAGGGCCAGATTAACTCTCAGACCACTTGCCATGTGGATGTCTCAGGAGAGGATGTGAGACAAGCTTCCTGAAAAGGCTTATGTGGCTTACACAAACTTTTGTTGAAGTGCTTGGCACAAAATAAACGATGAAGGTAGATAAAATAATTCACTACTCACAAATAACTGCCAGATAAATGTTAAAGAAGTGTTTTAGAGTAGAATTTCTAAAAATATAAATCCTTAAATTCAAAATTCTGAATGTTTCTGTTCTCTCTTTGTTTTTCTGAAATGTGAAATCTTTTTTTTTTTTTTTTTAATGCAGCTGTTTAGGTAGATTTACCACTATTTTGTAACCTGCCTTGTAATATACTGTTTAATGATAGATCCTTTACTTACTTCAACAATGTTGACTAGATGGAAACAATAGTTATCTGATGATAGATACACCATCATGATTCTTTCCGTTCACGTTCTTCCATCTTCTGACACTCTTCTATTTTAAATAGTGGTAATGACAACATGGAGCCTTAGAGGCACAGTGGTTAAGAGCTCAGCTGCTAACTACAAGGTCCCACCAGCTGTTCTGGGGAAGAAAGATGTAGCAGTCTACTTCCACAAAGATTATAGCCTTGGAATCCTATGGAGCAGTTCTACTCTGTGCTATAGAGTCGCTATGAGTCAGAATCGACTCAACGGCAATGGGTTAATAATGTCAGCATACCAACAATCATGAAGATGGCACAGGATCTCGAAATGTTTTGTTCTGGTACGCATATGTTTTCCATGAATTGAGGCCAACTCCATGGCATCTAACAACAGCAACAGCAATAATGTCTTTCCTATGAAGAAAGGCCTGATGATCTAGTTCAGAAAGTCAGTCACTAAAAACCCTATGGATAACAAAGGTCTGATCCACAGCTGATCATGGGATTGCCATGAGTCGGGAACTTACTCAATGGCAGGTAGCAACAATAATGGCTTTCCAATAAAATGGATAGCCCATGTTACTTGTAAAAAAATTTAAAAATACAAATAATGAAACCCACCCACAAACCCAGTACCTAAGGTAAACTTCTATATGTATACATTGTTTCATATCTTCCTATGGTGTTTTTTATGCATATATTAGTACTAGAACACTTCTCGTAAAACTGATATTTTACTTTTCTCATGTGGTTTTCCTCATTAGGAACACTCTTTAATACGTCTAAATAAAATAATAGACCTACCACTTCTCTCCAATTTAATACTACATAGGTAACTTAACATTCTAGAGCAGTCTGTTTCCAATTAGGAAAAAAATGAAGTTTCTATGGTGACCATGCTTCTAGTTACTCACTCCTCCTTCCTTCCTTGCCAATGCCTAATATACATCAAATTATTCAGGATTACATATAAACTGCCTGGCACTTGTAGAATATTCTTAAAGCTATACTTTCTACTGATGACTTGTTAAAGTGGCTATCCCATTTTTCTCCTTAATAATTACAAATATAAACTAAATAATGTTTTAATTAATTTATATTGGATTTTTCAGTTGAGATTACTATCATCACTTATAGGGAGTTAATGGATTTTCCCTAAATTGAAAAACATTTCCTAAAGAAGTATCCTGGAAATTGTAAATTATCAGAATTGAAAGGAGTCCATTAGATTTTTACAAATCTAGAGAACTGGTATTTCTCAAGGTGACTGGTAATTTCCAGAGATGTTTAAAGGTATCTTCTGGAAAAAAAGGATTTCTGAATTTAAAAAATTAAGAAAAATACTCTGTTAAAGTTAACTAGGTTTCTTCAGAACCTTTGAGATTTAAGCTAATATATCTTGCATATCTAAAGGAGATGTAGTCAGAAGCATTTCTTATACTTGTTTGTTCTATGGATGGAACCCACTTTTAAATACAGCTTCCTAAGGGTGCAATCCCCCATGCATCAGTTTGTCGTACGGTGTGAGTTTATGTGTTGCTGTGATGCTGGAAGCTATACCACTGGTATTTCAAATACCAGCAGGGTCACCCATGGCGGACAGGTTTCAGCTGAGCTTCCAGATTAAGAGAGACTAGGAAGAAGGACTTGGCAGTTTACTTCTGAAAAGAATTAGCCAGTGAAAACCTTATGAATAGCAGTGGAACACTGTCTGATACAGCGCTGGCAGATGAGCCCTCAGGTTGGATGGCACTCAAAACAGCTGCCTCCTCAAAACAGAGTACACAGTGGTTGCAACAATGGGCTCAAGCATAACGATTGTGAGGATGGCACAGGACCAGGCAGTGTTTCGTTCTGTTGTACATGGGGTCGCTATGAGTTGTAACTGACTCGATAGCACCTTCCACCTACAACCAGGGTGCAATGCACCTTAGACATACTTCGGGCAGTGCTGCTTAAGGAAATTCCCTGACTATAGGCTTAATGTTCCATCCCTTCTATTTAACAAAACCAAACGAAACCTGTCACTATCAAGTCGACTCCAACTCTAACAGCTCTATAGGACAGAGTAGAACTGCTCCAAAGGGTTTCCAAGACTGTAACCTCTACAGGAGCAGAACGCCAAGTTGTTTCTTCCATGGAATCATTGGATGGGTTCAAACTGCCTAGTTTTAGTTAGCACTCTAAACCACTGTGCCACCAGGTCTCCCCCTTCCATTTAACCCTTTTTAAATTCCTCCTTCTTCAAGTGGTTGACAATAACTTTATATTTAAATTAACTGTGTCAGTTCTCATTTCATATTGTTTGTATGCATGGTTTTGTTACTAAGCAGAACGGGATAAAAATAATAAAATATATATGCAATGAGATAACGTTTTATTTTAATTTTCACTATTTATATACAAGCACAAGTTAATAAAACACATCACAAAAAAGTAAAACTTCATAGTGTGTATAGGTGCATAGTTCATGCTCACATGTTAAGTATTATATGTATTAACAAATTTCACAATACATCATTATTCTTTCACAAAAAGAATCATTAAAAGACACCTAAAAATCTTCAAAGATACAATAGTAAATCACTCACAACTTACCAATAACAACAGAAAAATAGTGAAGATTTAGAAATACGTGGTAGTCATTTAGGTGTTTCTAATTTAACATTTTGAATTTGAAGCCACAATATCCACAGCACACAAGGACCTGCTACCATATATTCATTTCAGTGAGAGGGAAGCACTGAAATGATGAGAGGGGGGCAGGTGCAGATACTCCAATCACTGCTGATGGAAGACTTCAAAAAACACTACAAAAACTTTGAGAAAATTGTCATGACTGGGTACATTGGAACTGAGCACTTGTACAGGATGGAACATCTGTCAGCAGATCTCAGGAAACTGGGAGCAAAGATACTTCTTAGGCTTCGGGTTCATAGTCTTGATAGCCTTCCTAATTTTAGGAAAATCACAAAGACAACATTCAGTGTTTGTATAAGTGATTGGTAATCAAGGGTTTATTGCAAATGAGATAGGACATGACTCACCCCTGAATAAAGGTTATACTCATAATAGATCTGGAACTATTCTGCCACACACAACATAACTGTATTTATTTACTTAAATTGTACTTTAGTTGAAAGTTTAAAGAACAAATATTTCTCATTAAATAGTCACTACCCATATTGTTTTATGACATTGGTTAACAACCCCACAGCATGTCAACACTCTCCCTTCTCGAACTTGGAGGACCTTTTGTTCTTTTTGGTGAAAATACACATAGCCAAAGATACACCATTTCAAAAATTTCTACGTGTACAATTCAGTGACATCAATTACTTTCTTCCAGTTGTGCTGTTATTCTCATTATGCTTTTCCAAATTATTCCATCACCATTGTCTTCAACTCACTGTCCCCTAGGCTTCCCATCAAACCTTTGGAACTGCTGTTGTCAATCTGATCTCACATAGATAATTCTTTTTCTTTTTTTTTTTTTTACTTTACAGAGCAAAATAGTTTCTCATTAAACAGTTAGTACACAAGTTGCCCTATGACAATGGTTAACAACCCCATGACATGTCAACACTGTTCCTTCTCAACCTTGGGTTCCTTATCACCAGCTTTCCTGTCCCCTCCTGCCTTCTAGTCCTTGTCCCTGGATTGCTGTGCCTCATTCGTCCCGTTTTGTTTCATGGGGCTGTCCAATCCCTGGCTGAACAGTGAAACTTGGGAGTGACTTCACCACAGAGCTAAAAGGGTGTCCTGGGGCCTGGTTTCTCCAGTCCCTGTCAGGCCAGTAAATCTGGTCTTTTATTGTGTGTTAGAATTTTGTTCTACATCCTTCTCCAGCTCTGTCCAGGACCCTCTGTTGTGATCCCAGTCAGAGCAGTCAGTGGTGGTAGCTGGGCACCATCTAGCTGTACTGGACTCAGTCTGGTGGAGGCTGTGGTA